AAAAAAAAAAAAAAAAGGAAAGAAAAGATGAAGAAGTGGAGAGAAAAAAGAGAGGAAAGAAAAGGAAATAGAAAGAAATGAGAAAAAAAAGGGAAGAGAGAAAATAAGAGAGGAAATGACAAAGAAAAGGAAGTAGAAAAAAAAAAGTAAGAAAAAGAAGAAAGAGACGAGAGGCAAAAGAGAAAAGAAAGAGAGAAAGAAAGGAAAAGAAAGAGAGGAAAAAGAGAAAATGAGGAAAAGGAAAAGAAGCAGTGATATATATAAGGCTTATACGAACCGTTTTCGGTCCGTATAATCCTTATTGGCGCGTCGCACCAAAAATTTTCAATTTTTTCGGGAAAATTTTTGGCGCATTAATAATATTCGGACCAAAATCGGTCCAAATATAAATAAATTAGCGCACAATCAGAAGGATTCAAATTTACAGTAAAATTTTGGCGCATAAATTAATTACAGACCGAATTCGGTTCGTATATGTATTAAGCCTACAAGGGATCACATTAACATATTCGGACCGATTTTGGTCGAATATGTTGGGAAAAAATTCACAAGGCACATTTTTATTCTTTTCATTTAAGGGCATCACCATTTTCTCGTGTCCTTAATCCATTCCTGCGAAAACCAATTGCATGTACATCGACCCTACAGTCCCTTGGAACCACAAAACCATCGATTGTCTACCTAAAATTATCTTACGATGGTACGGAGTAATATTGTTGCAAAACCACGAATGTATAAGTTGAAGGTTATTAGAGATAATGTTACGTAATGCTCTTTCGGAGTCACAAGCAAATAAAATTCATTTTTTTCTTAAGGTTAACCACTTTAGCTTGCAAACATTCGGAATGTTATGGTTTAAAACGAGAGTAGAACGACTTAAGCATGAAATAACAAAAAATAAAAAATAAAAAAAAAAAGCTGTTGCTCAAGGGCATATATGGACCGATACTGGTCCGTATAGATATATACGGACCGGTATCGGTCCAAATATAGGCACTCCGAGGGATTTTTAATCCTAAAGCTAAATTAAATTAAGTATGAATATATATACGGACCGGTTTTGGTCTGAATATATGCAAAGAATCCAGAAGCCACCATGCTTTTCATTTTTCAGACCGATTTTGGTCCGAATATACCAGAAAAAATCCAGAAACTTCTCCTAGTGCACATTTTTATTCTTTTCATTTAAGGACATTACCATCTTCTCGTGTCCTAAATCCATTCCTACGAAAACCAATTGCATGTACATCAACCCTACAGTCCCTTGGAACCACAAAACCATCGATTGTCTACCTAAAATTATCTTACGATGGTACAGAGTAATATCGTTGCAAAACCACGAACGTATAAGTTGAAGGTTATTAGAGATAATGTTATGTAATGCTCTTTCGGAGTCACAAGCAAATAAAATTCATTTTTTTTCTTAAGGTTAACCACTTTGGCTTGCCAACATTCGGAATGTTATGGTTTAAAACGAGAGTAGAACGACTTAAGCATGAAATAACAAAAAAAAAAATAAAAGCTGTTGTTTAGGGGCATATATGGACCGATATCTATACGGACCGGTATCGGTCTGAATATAGGCACTCCGAGGGATTTTTAATCCTAAAGCTAAATTAAATTAAGTATGAATATATATATATCGACCGGTTTTGGTCTGAATATATGCAAAGAATCCAAAAGCTTCCATGCTTTTCATTTTTCAGACCGATTTTGGTTCGAATATACCAGAAAAAATCCAGAAACTTCTCCTAGTGCACATTTTCATTATTTTCATTTAAGGACATTACCATCTTCTCGTGTCCTAAATCCATTCCTACGGAAACCAATTGCATGTACATCTACCCTACAGTCCCTTGGAACCACAAAACCATCGATTGTCTACCTGAAATTATCTTACGATGGTACAGAGTAATATCGTTGCAAAACCACAAACGTATAAGTTGAAGGTTATTAGAGATAATGTTACGTAATGCTCTTTCGGAGTTACAAGCAAATAAAATTCATTTTTTTCTTAAGGTTAACCACTTTGGCTTGCAAACATTCGGAATGTTATGGTTTAAAACGAGAGTA